GATGGTCACCATAAGGAAGGAGGCCTTCTCTACTGATACGTACATGTGGTGCATGTCTGGTCTGTGAAAATTAGGTCAACTTGGTGATTGTACTATGTAGTATCTATGGTGTAGTAACTATGGTGATTCTACAAAGGAAAACGATACATATATTTATAAAACACATATAATCTAATATTGGATCAGCCTCAGTTTGTTCAAAGTAAGAAGTCATCTTTCATTTAACTATATGCTCTATTATTCATAAGAGAGCTGATAAATCAGGTCACAAAAGTGAATATAATTTTCAGCTGTAACCTATGTGGCAAAACCGTTTATGAGAAGATTAACTAATGTATCAAAACATTACCTCTAAGAGACGTCAAGAATTTCTTTTTTTTTGAGACAGAGTCCCACTATGTCACCCTTGGTAGAGTGCTAAGGTGTCACAGCTCACAGCAACCTCAAACTCTTGGGGGCTTAAGTGATTCTCTTGCCTCAGCCTCCCATATAGCTGGGACTACAGGAGCCCACCACAATGCCTGGCTATTTTTTGGTGCAGCTGTCATTGTTGTTTTAGCTGGCCAGGTTAGGTTAGGTTTGAACCTGCCAACTTTGGTGTATATGACAGGCACCGTAAACTCTGTGCTATGGGTGCCAAGCCCAGAATCAAGGGATCTTAAAGGATGACCAGAATCTAATAACCATCCACACTCCCCCCAAAGCTGCAGTGTTACATGCCTTTACTTGTAAAATATGCAGCACCTAAAAATAAAATTTTCTCTATATTCTTTCCCAGAGAAAATGTGATTTAAATCATTGCAAATTTTTTTCTGGGCATGAATACATAAAAATATTCATTGGATTGACTATAAAAAGCAGGAAAGACTGTTTATACATACAAATGTTTATCAAATCATTATTATGCACTAATTTCTTTAATTTCAGTGAATGTTCTACTACATACAGCAAAAAAAAAAAAAAAAAGTAACCAGTGCAACTCTTTAAGTAAGACAAGAATGTATCTTTGGGGGCTAGGTGCGGTAGCTCATGCCTGTAATTCTAACACTCTGGGAGGCCCAGGCGGGTGGATGGCCTGAGCTCAGGTGTTTGAAACTAGCCTGAGCAAGAGCAAGGAAAACTAGCCAGGCGTTGTGGTGGGTGCTTTTAGTCCCAGCTACTCGGGAGGCTGAAGCAGAGAACTGCTCTTTGAGGTTGCTGTGAGCGGTGACACCATGCACTCCACCCAGGATGACAGAGTGTAATTCTGTCCAAAAAAAGAACACATCTTTGGTGATAGAGCCTAATGATATCAGGACTAGTAAAATAGCTCGTGCCACGACCGTGATTCTACAGTTTTCTAGGTTATGAATCTTCTCTATTGAGCGACAGTGACTGAGGCACCACATAGGGAATGAGACGTTACTAAGCATAATGTGCATCGTGCTGGGCAATCCCAACAAATCTCAGTGCAGGAAGTGAACAGTCTAGTGAGAACTAGTGATTAATACTATTTTCATCATGAGAAAGTTAAGAAATCAATGTGACCCCTTAGCTCCTAAGGTCTTGTTTTGCAGTAGTACGTTTGCCTTCAGCGAATACCACTCACTACCTTAGGGGAACTGGGTGTGCTGACATGAAGTCTATCCAGGGCAAAGAGAAAAAAAAGGCTCGGAGATGGTCCCAGGGCTCCGAAGAGCGCTTGCACCTCAGCAAATGCCACTTTTACATCTGCAGTCCCAGAGCACACTTTCTTCCTTCAGGCTTTCATTCATCTGATGCACAGATAAGACTGATGGATGGCTGCCCGGCCAGTAAGCGTTGGAGGCGAGAGGGGTGCATAAAAGAAGGGATGCCATTTGGCAGTGTGCAGCGGTAATTCAAAACATTCTGCAAGGCTTAAAAGCATAATCACTTGTCAAATTTTTGCTCATCAAATCCTGCCCTTCAGCAGGTAGTTATTAAGAGTAGGATGACTGTGGCTGTGAGGAGAGATGGATATATGGAACTGAGACAAAAGACGGGCGAAGAAATGACAGGTCAATTGTCATAGTAAATTTAAACACAGAAGAACCAGGGTATGTGCGATTGTAAAACTCATATACCAATAATTTCCCCAGAAAGCAATATTAAAAATTAAAGCCACCGATTTATGCTTATGCAATGCAGGATCCTACCTTCCTGGTCTCTGGTTTCTCCCAGCCCAAGGCTTACTGCTTTCCTAAACATGACCATTTCTTCTGCCTTTCTGTCACATTTCATTGTTAGCCACAGCCCAGCACAGGCCAATTTTAGTGGCCACACAAAGCATGGCTCAGCAGAAGCCAGGAGAGTAAATAACAGCCACTAATGTCCGTACTTACAACGTATCAAACTATGTCCATGAGCATTTGAAAATGACTGAATTTAATGTTAATGATGAAACCAGTGATGCACACTTGCCTTAAAGTCTCTCAGAGGTAGCGTCTGGTCTCAAACACAGCAAGTGTCTGAAAATCAGTCAAACGCAGGTAGCAGGGCCTTTCTCAGCCAAGAGAATGGGTGTCACTTTCAATAAATGCTACGGTTCTTTACCTCATCACAAGACTTGTGAATCTGACACACATTTACGGGGTATCAGTGCCCTTCTATATTTCATTTAATCCACCTAAGGCCTTGGGTTACACAACCAGATAACCCATGCGGTCATAAAATCAGAAAAAAGACAATCTTTCGTGGTGGCGAGTACAAGTTATAGCTGTCACGTTTTATTCTGTAGGAAGATAGTAGATTGCTCCTTATCCATATTGAAATTGATATGATATGAGCAGAATGGTTTGTTTAAAATACAAATAACCTCCTTAGTTTAAAGTTTATTATCAATGTGAGTTTGGGATGAATAAAACCTTTCCTCTCAGAAGGACCTACTACTATGTTTTGTTTCATAATTAAATATTTCAGAACCTGAGATATGTTAAAACCCAAAAATGAGAGTATGGACTGTATCACATATGTCAAAATCATCAAAATATCAACTTTTTATAGCTTTAAAAATTGTCACTTTGATATATTTAAAGCTATATTTTAAAATACGACATATTTGTGTAAGAACTTATGAATTACTACTATAAGCAGAGTATGATATAATAACAAAAGTGTAATCCTAGCCCTCTCGGAGGCCGAGGTGGGAAGGAGGAATCCCTTGAGCTCAGGATTTCAAGACCAGCCTGAGCACGATCCAGTCCCTATAGGTGCTTGCCAGGTGTTGTGGCTGGTATCTATAATCCCAGCTACTTGGGAGGCTGAGGCAGGAAGCTCCCTTCAACTGAGCGTTTGAGCTAGGCTGATCCCACGGCACTCCAGCCCGGGGCAACAGAGTGAGGCACTGTCTCAAAAAGAAAAAAAAAAATAGCAAAAGGATTCCCAATGTTTTTGTTGTAGTTCAACACATGTTTGAAATAATGCACAAAATACAACTCACAATTATAATTAGATAAAGTAGATTTCTTAAATTCCAGTGTGGATTTAAAAAAAAAAACTCCTTTTGGGGGGGCACAAAGAGCCATTAATATTTAAACAGGAGAAATGTTAAGTAGGCAAATAGAGATAATTAAATTCCCTAATATATTGATTTGAAAAGAACTAATACTTAATAAATTTTCTTTACTTGAAGTAAACAAAGAAAAATGCCAGCAACATTTTTAAACCATACAAAGAAATCACTGATGGGTGGGTACAGAAAGGAATGGTGCCACATTAATGGGGAAAAAAATAGAAAAAGATAAAACTACGGACATTGACATAGAATGTGGACTTTGAAGGCAATGCAAACATGAATTTAGTTCAAATGGTATTAATCTCAAATAGTATTGGCTTTCTAGGTCTGTAATGTATTCATTAAAAAGATCTATATGTGAATTTGAAAATAAGAACAAATAAGTCTCCAAAACCTTCAAAATTTACATCTTGAAGATTAATATGTGGTATATGCACACCATGGAATACTATGCAGCCCTAAAGAAAAATGGAGACTTTACCTCCCTCATGTTTACATGGATGGAGCTGGAAAATGTTATTCTTAGCAAAGTATCACAGGAATGGAAGAAAAAGTATCCAATGTACACAGCCCTTTTATGAAACAAATTTATAGCTCTCAAATGAAAGCTACAACTTAATTCTAGCCTAAGAATATGGGGAGGGGGTGGGAAAGGGGAGGGGAGAAGGGCGGCTGGGGGGTGGGTGGGTGACTGGAAAGATCACTTATATGGTCTGTCTAACAAGGGTACAAGTGAACTTTTCTAGAACTAGAGTATAAATGTTTTGACACAATGACTAAGCAAATGACATGAAGTCTATGTTAACCAGCTTGATGAAAGTATTTCAAATTGTATATGAAAACACTACATTGTACCCTATGTTTGCATTAATGTATACAGCTATCATTTAATAAAAAAAAAGAAGAAGAAGAAGAATATTTAACAATATGCAAAATAGCATCCTATAAGAAAGGGCCGCCAAATCTGTTTGAAAAATAAAATGGTATTTTATTGAATATAGTTCAAATGAGACATTAATTCAGAAAGACATTATAGAATCCATATTTTGGTGGTGATTCCCAAATGATTAGAGTAATAATGGTTTATTTTGAAAGTTGAAACATTACTGCATGTATTATAAAGTTCTATTAAACACAGCCTTAAAAGAAAAGAGTAATATATAATGCAAATTTTCCTATTTTTCTCAAGAAAATCCCTATAGAATTTCTCATAAATACCGAAATGTAAGTCAGTGAGTTGGTAGTAGGAAATATAATCTTATAAATGTCATAAAACATGTATTTCATTCCACTGATAAGGTATTTAATTTTGCTAATGGTCTACAGGGAGGACAGAAGTTACTTGTGATAAATACAGTGACATTTATGGTGGAAAAAAACTGTTCAAGCTAGGGAAATATTTTGCTTTGTGTTCTGATTCTCTTGTTTACAAAGGAAGAAAAACAGCTGACTCAGTTAGACAAGGGGATCTCAAAGCAGTACTTACTGGCATGACAATGTTGTAGTGGATGCAGAACCCTGGTTCAGAAGGGAAATATTCATCAGAGACAAATCGTATTCTGATTTGATTTCCTTTAGAAATCTGTTTTCCTGGAACAGCACCAGAACCACACCAGCGCCCTAATATTGCTCCATCATTGGGATCCTCAACTTCTACAAAATCATACCTGTTAAAAAAGCAAAGAGAACAGAAGACATTTGGTCATGATCTGATTATTTTCATAATCCTAAATTCTATGTCTCCATGTGTTACGAATCTGTAGACAGCAGCAATGTGTTAACCGCCAATTTAACTGGGTATATATGATGAAATTGTCCAGAGAAGAGACCCAACTGAAGACAAGCTCTCAACTGAGGAAACATGAGTATTCTATTTGCAGCCCTCCAGTTTTGCTGTTTACAAATTCTAAACTCAGTAAATAGCCATATTAAAACTCAAATATTTTGTAAGGAGCAACCATATTTGACTTTCGATTCATGAATAATTCAATTTAATTTCTGCTTGGAAGAGAAAGTCTTAGTCCACGCTTAATTGCTGTCATTACTCTCCCCCTCCCTACGTTCTGAGAGTGATGCCCTCATGCTTCCCTGGCTCTCTCTGCTCATTTGTAAGGCAGCTTTCCTAGAGCCATCCCCTGCACACCTCAGGTCCTACTCTTCTGCCTCTGGAGGACCTTCCTGGTATCCTGGCTCACTGTCATCTTTGGGAATAAATACATACACATTTTTAACATTAACAGAATATACACCTATGTAAGTGACTCCTCTTCTTAGCTAGGTTGTCAATCTTTGAAAAAAAGAATCAGTTATTATATATAGTTGAACCTCTGTAAGTTGGTCACCCAAGGAACTGTAACAAACTAGTCAACATATGGAGCTGGTCAACACAAGGAATGAGGCCTGCTAGACTGAGATGCACATGTAGTGCATGTCTGGTCTATGAAAATTAGATCAACTTAATCAGGTGGTCAGTGTAAAGAGGTGGTCAACTGTAGAAGTTCTACTGTATTTCTGCTGTGCATTTCACTACACACTGTGTCTTTAATATAAGGAATAAATCATGATTTGTTTTAAGCAAACGTCAACTTTGGTTTGGAAGGTTTAGACCAGAGGTGCTCAAGGAGAGCAGCAGTGCCTCGCGAGAGAACGTTTCTAGAAATCTGTAGAAACATTCTAGAAATTCTACAGATTTCCAGAAACATTTTTAGGTCGTCTCAATGATTGGGGTGGGTGGGTACTACTGAAATGCCCAGAAATGCTCAACATTGAAAAGTTCTGAAAATGAGTATTTGCCTCGTGTTCATTGTACCTTTCAAATATTTCTGCAGACACTTCATGAAGGTGAAATTTATGTTCTCATTTATCAGAGTCTAGATCCTAACATTATCTCATGTAGAAGCACATAACAACAAGTTCTGCATTGTTTTAGTTTAAGGTAAATTTTTTAAGAAATTCAACTATCAAATGAAGGAAGTTTCTGTATTTTGTTTAGAACTTTGCTAAGAACTACTCTTTCAGAGAAACATGTCACCAACACAGGAATACTAGTTATACTACTGGCAGCAATAAAACAATTAAACATATTCATATTAGTCTAAATTTATAGCTGTCACAATCACAATGAATCTGCCTAAAAGACGCAAACATCTGATTTCCTTTTATTTTTCTAGCGTATCTGCAGTTTATTTACACATTGAAACACATCATTTTCATCTAAATTGGTTTGCTATTATTTCAGCTTTAAGTAATATACAGGCCATTATTTTATTTCCTAAACAATTTCACATATAAATAGAGGATCGTGTCCATGAACTCCATTTCAGTACCCTAAACATTGCAAAACTTCTGTTAAAAGGGAAGTCTGAAGTGGTGGAAAACTACTGATAGAAAAATACGTAGTCTAATCTCAGTAGCTACCAGACAACCAAATAAAATACATTTTATGTAGTATTTAATTTATAGAAGAAAAAAATTGTTGAAAAGGGCTGGGCACAGTTGCTCAGACCTGTAATCCTAGCACTGTGGGAGGCCAAGGTGGGTGGATCACCTGAGCTCAGAAATTCAAGACCAACCCTAGCAAAGTGAGACACCTGTCCTTACTAAAAATAGAAAAACTAGCCAGAAGTTGAGACAGGCTCCTGTAGTCCCAGCTACTCAATGGCTAAAATAAGAGGATCACTTGAGCCCATGAGTTTGAGGTTGCTGTTAACTATGATGCCATGGCACTCTACCCAGGGTGACCGAGTGAGATTCTGTCTCCAAAAAAAAAAAAAAAAAAAAAAATTGTTAAAAAAACACAAAATTCATAATGAAAAAATTATAGAAATCCTCCTCCTAAGTAGGTATCCAAAACTCTCTTATGCTGTGTTACGTAAATTGTTTTAGCCTTATTTTCCTCATTGGTAAGTGGAGAAGAATGCTACCTAGCTCACAGAGATATTTTAAGAAAGAGGAGATTGCCCGTCACGGCCAGTGCCTGAAATAGTTGCCAGCACAGAGCTGCCACTCAAGACAGTCTGTCCCCCACTTCTGCCCTGCATACCTCCCCCGCTACACACCCCTAACTTTGAGCATGGCCATGGGAGTTTCAAAGCAAGAAATAAGAAAACCTAAGTACAAAGAGGAAATGAGATATTTTTGCTACACCATATGACAAGTTCAGGGTTACAAGTTACAAAGGCATCAGCCCACAGGTATAAGCTTGCCAGGAGTTTGGTGTCTGTGTGTGTGTTGGGGGTAAGAGATGGGGGCTTGAGGGAGGAGTTGTGTAGAGCAGACTGAAGTGGGTATTTCAGCTCTCTCTGGTCCAAAGTTGATAATTATCATTTTTATCAAGTAGTAATTTTTCTGTCAAGATTGTCTACATGTGAAACAAAGCTTCTATTCATGAAGTACCTGTTTGTCTTGTGCTTGAGAGGGAAGCCTTAGCTGATGTGAGTTACCACTCTGCCTTCTTCAAGTGTTTATGGAGCACGGACTTGGTGCAAACTCCTGGGCCAAAGACTCAAAAGGCAAATATGAAACTAATGTTTCTTTGAGGTCTATGTTCATAAAACACACTGGTAAGTGCTCTAAAAAAAGTAGCATTGTGGAATACTGGAAAAGAAAGAGTAATTCTGCACAGCAAGATAAAGGCTGGCTTAAGAGGCTTGACACTGGGGCTGTCAGTGAGTACTGACTGGCCAAGGGGCAAAGGGGAGGGAAGTGGAAACGCGTTCTGGCCAGATGCACAAAATGCCTGATGTAACGGAGTGAAAGGGGCCTGGGCGTGCTGAATTGTGAATAGATGGGAGAAACCCCAAGAGGAGATAGAGTTCAAGGTGGAAAACCTGACCCAGATGAGAAGATCTTGGCATTTCCGAGTAAGAAGTTAGACTATTATTTTCTAGGCCAGCATTGCACCTAAGTGGGCATCATTTTCATGGGCTCTATGTCTCTTGAAAAATTTTAAGTCAAAATTAAAAAAAATTAAATTTCATAGGAAACCTGGGTTTATGGCTAAAACAAAAACAAAAACAAAAACAAAAACATAAACTGAAGATCTATAAATACGAAACATCATTAGCTTTAGCGTGACTTCCTGAGGGCTCATCTCCAGAACTGGTCTCAGCTCCGGGAGAGAAGGTGTCTGATAAATTTACTGTTTTATCCTTAGCACAAACAAACATCCCAGTCATATAGTAAAATTCGGTATCGGTGCTTGGTGAGTGAAGGGATGAACACTTGGTCTTCATACCAACTGAGGCTGGGGCGAAGTGGAAATTGCTTTAGATGAGATATGATCTTTCTTGTCTTTTAAAAAATCCCTGTCTGTCCTCTGTGCTTTTAAAGGTACCCAGGTCTCTTCATTTTTTTACATTCTTTGCTCCAGAAGGCATCTGAGTTTGCCATCCTCATGCTTAGGAAGCAGAGCTCCTGGAGGTTTCATTGAGGGGAGCGATATATACATAGAATCATCTCCTATTGAGGAATGCCAGGAAATGATAATATTTCAAGTGTCGGTCACAAGACAGGAGCCTTTAATAAGAAAAGCATACTGGGAAGTAGCAGTCAGAGGAACAACTGGAAAGCCACTGGGAGTGAGGACACAGAAACAAAGAGGGAAGGGAGGATTTCCAGCAGAGACAACAGTGCCCACGTGTCTAAGAAGGATCCAAAAAGTACCCACTGGATTTGGCCATTATGAAGTCATTTTCAACAAGCTGATTAGGCAGTTAAAATGGTTCTTGCAATATTTCAAAATAACTATTAACATCTTTTTAATACAACAGCATCCTAAGACAAAAGAATATCCTATTCAGTAAGCCTAAAATTAACAATTCATATAGCTATTTTACCCTATATAATTTTTTTTTTTTTTTTTAGTTTCGGTCGAAAAAGAAATTCCATTATGGGTTTATCTGATCTGCAAGTTCTTTAAAGGTATTTCAAGAGGATTTTGAACCACATATAGAAACATGTAGATTATAAATGCGGAGTGCATTAAGGAATAAGTCAGTTTTAACTTTGGGCTTGTCTGATTTATATCCTGATACAAAAATCACTGTCCTGTAAATAGGAGAAGGGTGATGAGTGTGTTATCCTGGATTTCATGAAGATTTCCTACAGAATTTGATGCCATTTATGAAATGAACTTAATCTCTATAATATTTTTCTTAATTTGCAGCTAGACAGCTGGCAATTCATCTTACATGCTCATGCAGGTCTGGTGCATCCACTTATCATAGTGCTTAAAAAAATCTATAGTTTTTGCATTCCAGAAAGGTTAAATAAAATGAACATCTAAAAAATTGCCATGCTGTTTGCCTATAAAGCAGGTAAACTTAGTATATACTACTAATTGTTTCACAGTAAATTAGTCATTTCAAGATGTTCTTCAGAACTGGTGTCATAAAAAAATATAATTCTACAATTCATCCAATTATTTTACCATTAATTTTTAAGGTCATACCCAGTCATCATTAAGATGTCTATGGGATTTAAAGGCATGAATGAATTTCTTCTTGATCAAAACAGCAAATTCCATTAGTTAAAAAATATGGTTACATGAATAGCATTTTGTTTTTTACATAAAGAATATTCAAGTTCATGTAAAACAGACCAACTAAACATCTACCTATAAAGTATGCCCAGGTCTCCATTGATATCTCATCTTCAACTAGCAAAA